GGATGGACAGCGGGAGGAGGCTGCGTCCGCCGCACGCCCACCCACTGAAGTGCCCAAGGTGCGAGTCCACACACACCAAGTTCTGCTACTACAACAACTACAGTCTCTCTCAGCCTCGCTACTTCTGCAAGACCTGTCGCCGTTACTGGACCAAAGGCGGCACCCTCCGTAACATCCCCGTCGGCGGCGGCTGCCGGAAAAACAAGAAACCCTCCGCCGGAAAAAAACCCTCATCAAGCACCGGTACCGCCACCACAGCCGCCGCTGTGGCCGCAACCGAGCTCATGGCTCCGCATTCTCAGCTGAATTACGAAAATGCCCCATTCGGCTTCCCCCATTTCGGAGGGACGATGGGTTCTTATGGTCAAGAGCACACCGGAGGTTTCTTAGAGAGCAAGTATGGAGGGCTGCTTCAGCAGACACCTAGACCCATTGATTTCTTGGACGGAAAGTTTGATCTCATGGGGATGAACAGTGATCTCCCCATGGTTGAACCGGGGAGTATAAGCCTTACTCATGGGTTAGGGATAAACCACGGTGAGCTTCACGGTTTTCATGGCGGCGGTGCAGGGATCATGGACATCACAACATGCCAGAGACTGATGATGACCGCTTATGAACATCACCACCATCATAATGGGAATGATCAGGATCAAAATTTAACAGCAATGGATGTGAAGCCGAATCCTGAGCTGTCATCCCTTGATTGGCAACAGGGTCAAGTCTGTCCCGACACCGGGAAAGACACTGCTTCATATGGAGGTTACATGAAAGGTCTTGGACCATCATGGAGCGGCTTGATGATCAACGGCTATGGACCGCCGACGAAGAAGACAAACTCCTTGGTTTGAGAGTGTCGATGTAATGAACTCTCAGTATAGGGTAATGCAGGGTTTTGTCTGATTATCGGCTCGCTAATTATGAGAGTAATTAATCTTGATTAGCTAAATGTTGGGAGATGTATCTGGTTTTTGTATGTTGCTGTTTCATCTGGCCGAGGTTTCTGCTCCTTGATGCAGTTGTCTGTTCTGTACCATGTTTTATGCCAATCCTAAGTTTTTTTTTTGGAGCTCACACCAAGAATAAGAAAAGGGGTAACCTCTAATTAATGAACCAGTGAATAGCCCATTTCTATAACTAAACATTTTCATAAAAGGTACTCTGGTTTGGTTTGATTCCTGTTTCTATCAAACCCGGTTTAGTGTAAATTCTTGCTCTATATTTAAATTTCAGAAAGGAATTTAAAAGGATCGAAATGAGAAACATATCCCTTAAATACAAAGAGAGAAAAAAAAACTAAGAGCAATGATAAACCCTAACAAAATCAAATAAGAATAATCCAAGCTAAATCGAAACTAGATATAAGCGGTCATTTACTGTGACAAAAGTTAAGAACCAGATAAATAATCGGTGCATTTATTCCACATGAAAGCGAAACTAAAGTTGGTGATAAAGTAGATGAAAGACAAAAGATAAATAAAATAAATAAAAGCATCGTTTCAAAAACTTTGCCTTAGGATGATGCTTTATTTGCAAGACAAAAAAGAGAGAGAGAGAGAGAGAGAGAGAGAGAGAGAGAGAGAGAGAGAGAGAGAGAGAGAGAGAGAAAGAGAGAGAGAGAGAGAGAGAGAGAGAGAGACTTATGGATATGATCTTTTATACCTTCACCATTGGAGAGGTAAGACAAAAATATTTGAATGGTCACTTGGATAAGTCCGGAGTCATGCATTACCACTTGAACTTTGTGTGAGATATGCATATATGTATATATATGTGTGTGTATATATGCATGTGAAGTTTGATAATGAGAGAATTGGACCGTGATTCAAATAGAAACCATTGCTAACATTGGGTTGTAACTTGTAATGATGGAGCATGGAGAAAATATCCTTTGCTAGTGTTAACTAAGCATTTCAACAAGGACCATATCTATAACTTTCTTGATGCAGTAATGAAAATTATCGTTCATGCTTCTAGTGTTTAATTGTTTAGGGAAAG